TGTCTATTAAGAAATAAAAGTTATCACTTGGTTGTCATATTTATAGCCCTTAGAATGCCCTAGGTGCGATGACTTTGGTCTGTTTTAAAAATTTTGTATTAAGTTTCGATACGTGAACGTGACAGACCTGGTGAACTTAGTGTCACCTTCACATCTAGTTAAGTAATAAAATTGTCCGACATTCGACGTGTTGCACGTTTCTTGAAAAATTAATTCTTAAAAGAGTTAATTAAACGTTTTTATTTAGTGTATTTTCAGCCTAAGAGATCCTAAATGCCTTTTCTTTTTATAGTTTTAACAAAATCAATGTTGAAAACAACAAATTCTTCCTTCATTACCAACACCTGTATCAGGCTATCTCGTTCCCAGTTAAAATTGCAATTTAAGATATCGGATTAGCCACTCCATCTCAGAGTTTATTCTAAATGAAAACGGTTTTCCATTTTCCTGTAACACTGCGGATAGGATTTCCTGACTCACTCGAGGTGACGTCATTGTTTTTATCTTTCTGTATTACCTATCGCGCAAAATAATGATTGTATTATTCATAAATCTAGTTTGAACGAGTTTTAAAAAATTTCGTCACATTTATTTGTAATATGAGCTATAAAACAAAATTCAGTATTAAAATTCTAATAACTTGAATGCATTAAGTACACAACAGTTTAATAAATAACAATACTTTTCTGTTGATAATAATTTTCATGTATTTTGGATAGGACTTGAAAGAGAGAAGAAATAGATCAAATACTTAATTTATAGGTATTAAAGTTTCGGACTTTCACACATTGCATAGAGGCAACGAAAATCTAGAAGCTCAGCGTGATTGACAATACAGGAGGCAAAAGATCGCGTGGACGTTCGCCAACGAAATGGACTGCTCAAGTCAAAGACTCGTCGTCCTCAAAATTATACACCGTTGTAAAAGCGCTGGACAGGCTATTAAAGTTTGTGTATCAAAAAGAACGAAAGTAATCCTGACGTTTTGTATGCAATTTCGATGAAGTTCTCTCAATATCTGTAGCGCTGATGCCGCAACCTTGGAATCGTGCAGTACCAACTCAATATTGAAGCCGGGACGAGTGACGCGCATATGTCTACAATAAAATGAAAATAAATCAGTGGCGCTACAACCTCTTTTAAGTATTGGCTTTAGATTTCTGAATCTGTTTCATGATCATTTTTAAATCTAATAGGCAACTAGGTGATCTGCCTCCAAATGCCTGACACACGCCGTCGACTTTTTGGGTCTAAGACATGTCGGTTTCCTCACGATGTTTTCCTTCACCGTTCGAGCAAATGTTAAATGCACACATAGAAAGAAAGTCCATTGGTGTACTGCCGGGGATCGAACCTACGACCTCAGGGATGAGAGTCACATGCTGAAGCCACAAGGCCAACACTGCTCATATGTATCTACACCCGACACCAAAAATCTAGTCAAACGAAAGTCAAAGTAAATAGAAATAGATAGATGAAAAAGAACGGCGAATCTACGGAGTTTAGAGCCTACGTAGGTTACGATTGTAGGAAACAAAACAATTAATACTTTTCCGACTGGGTCCACGATGAAGTATTTACTAAAAGTTAACCATTAATTCATAAGGAACGACTCCGAGTGCCATACACAGGTGTTAATGTAAACGTTAAAATTGAACAAATGCTTTAAATTGTTAGGATTAGGTAAATTTCCATAGATTTTACGATAATACTTAGTTACTTATTTTATCGGCTGTCGAATTAGTGTCCTGGTCATCGTCAAAATTAGCATTATCCATGCATATTTAAAACAGTTACAGTCTAAAAATACCAGCGTACTATACTTTTTATATGACGATGAAGCGTGTGCGCATCTTGAATTTGTCACACAAGTAATAGTAAACTAGTTATTCGATGTGCGCAGTAATTCATGTACAGCTTACAGTAAACAATGGCGTAAGTATATCGAATTTGCCTTTAATAATTAATGGCTAATTAAGTACCTACCTAGTCGAATTAGCTAATAGCAAACTTGAAGCCTTGGAATAAGTCAAGTAAATGAATACACATTTTACAACTTCCCAAAGTTAACTAAGAACAGTGTTGGCCATTAGAATTCAGCGTGCGACTCTCATACCTGAGGTCGTAGGTTCGATCCCCGGCTGTGCACCAATGGACTTTCTTTCTATGTGCGCATTTAACATTTGCTCGAGCGGTGAAGGAAAACACCGACATATATTAGACCCAAAAAGTCGACGGCGTGTGTCAGGAGGAGGCTGATCACCTACTTGCCTATTAAAAATGATCATGAAACAGATTCAGAAATCTGAGGCCACGACCTAAAGAGGTTGTAGCGACACTGACTTTTTTATAGTTAACTAACATCCCGAGAAAAGGAAATTCAATGTGAGGAGTAAGGCTAACAAAGATGTCCGTATATCAAATCCAGTGGGTTTTTGACGGGAGTCGGAAGTCATACAATGCGATAAATCTCACACAGCGTTAAGTCGGACTCGCGAACGTCAAAAATGTATTGTCGCGTTCCTGAATATCATCTTTAATCTTACCCTTTTCTCGAAGGGTAAAAAGCTCCTCTGTTAAATATAACTGACGACTACCGAGATCAAAAACCCCGCATGCTTGAGGTCTACGTCGTGTTCCGGAAATAAGAAAACACGCAAAAAACTTGATGTATCAGTATGCAGATTTTATTTCAATATTAGTATTTGGGTGTTAGTATTAACTTAATGTAATTGGCATTGAAGTAATATTTGGCGTAATTAATGGCAATGGCATATAAGATTAGAATGGAAGCTGAGAATGTTTGCGGATGTATTTGCGAGGTCGATGTAGCTTATGCTTAAACTATATTTTACGAAGGCTAATTTAAAGTTTTAGCATATATAGGCCTTGTTTCCTGTTTAGAAGGTAAAATAAATTTTCCTTTTACTGCATGGGGGCCGTTCAAGTATTATTTAGCCCCCCTTCCCCTTGTCAGCAAAAGTAAGCAAAGCTCTTAATGTAGTTCTTTTTTAAGCATAGACACTGTGTGTGCCATATGTGTAAACAAGTAAATAATTACTGCTAACGTAATCGAAGACTCATTGGTCTAGTGGTTAGTACCCCTGACTGCGAATCCATGGGTCCCGGGTTCGATCCCCGGCTGAGACGAACATCGATGTGATGAGCATTTGGTGTTGTGCTTAGGTCTTGGGTGTTTAAATATGTATTTGTATTTCTATCTATCTATAATATGTATGTATATCCGTTGCCTAGTACCCATAACACAAGCTTCACCAGCTTAGCATGGGACTAGGTCAATTGGTGTGAATAGCCTTTAAAAAAAAACAACAACTAGATCCCCCACTCCCATGTCAACAAAAATAAGAAAATCAAAGACCCAACTGCTTAATAGTGCTTGCGTAATGCTTGAACGCTCAAATAAGTTTTGTTATAGATATTGTAAATTATCCCTCGTAATAATTTCAGTGAATTTAAAGATTTGATTTTATATTAATGAAAATATGGCTGAAATTAGTTTAATTTTTTTTAACATCCAAAATTTATTACGACTAACAGAAACAATACAATGGAATAATATTACCAGCCATTATAAAATGACGCGAATACAAACAATGACCCACGTTACCAAAGTAAACTTACGTAAACTGCTGACGCACTTAATCTTGATACAAATTTTAAATGCTTCACCACAATTTTAGTTAAATTGTAATAAAAACATTGTCACGCTTAACGCCACGTTTTCTTCATGAACATATGAAGGTTTATATGAACGACGAGATTATATACTATAAGCATGTAATAGGTATTGAATGTTTTGTTCTTATCAGTCTCATGTTACTTCGCTAATAAAAGTGACAATTTACTGCTTATATAGTTACGTTCATGAATAATGAAAGGAAAACGATAGACGTTTCGTTCCATTGTGATTGGTCAAACGTTATATTATGACGTATCATGTCGCGTGTCAGCGCGTGACTAGAGATGTTCTTGGGCAATCACAGTTGGACGCGACGATTCGTCTTTTGTTTTATTCATTATACTTTTTACTAATATATTATAGTAGGGGATTATCTGTTACGGATTGTTATAGGTCGATAATGCTATTGCATAGTTTTAAAAATGGTCATACATTTACAAGATATATATATAACAATGCTGTTCGTTTGTCTCATTCAAACTCGAGAATGGTTGGACAATTTGGCTAATTTTGATCTTGAAATATTTGTGGAAGTTTGAAATGAGAAACATGCATAATATATAATAATAAAAATTTGAAAAAAAAACAAATATATGTAAAAGCATAAATAGTTTTATTTTAAAATATATATTTCAATCTTCTTCGCGTGTGTTTAATTAAACTTCTTCTTAAGGCCTAGACCGATTTTGATGATTTTTTTTGTGTCATGTGGATTCGTGAATGGTCAAGATTTACTACAACATGATTATGCTGTATAGTGAAATATAAAACAGGCACCAAATTGTGCCTGATTTCGTCCATTAAATAATAAAAAATAATAAATGAATAAACAAACAGCTTATAAATCTGCGATTAAAAAATATATATTTTTTCTTATAATTAAGTTAATTCCATTAATACGGTCAAATACCGTCAATGGAATTCTACTCACACGTAATAAAGTGGATAATCACCATTTAAGATACTTAAACCAACACTTAAATTGGACAATAAAGTCAGCAATTTTTTACTTCTTAAATTCTTGTTTAATTTTTTGATCTGCAGGAGTCAGTAAACGTCCAAATGTTAAGTTTATACAATATACATATTAAGGTACATGTATATTTGATAGCATTGCTATCGAAAACTTTAAAGCCATATATATTATTTGTATAAAAAGGTACGATTAAAAATAGCAGTCAGGCAACAAATATAAAAAATAATATAGGTATGTTCTATTTAGAAGAAAAAATCTAACATGCAGTGAGTATGGTAACGTATGCAAAATTATTTCTACTGTTAGTTGTTGTGAGGTGCAAAACTACTTGAGTGCACGATACTCACCGACGTTGGAGTGGTAATCGTGAAGCGGATATAATGGATAATCACCTAGTTTCAACAGGTATGTAGATAGCAGAACGGCATCAGCCGGATCCTGGCCGTGATGCTGGGCAGCCGGCCTCATCAGGGAGTTTATAGAAAAGTCAGTTGTTCGACTCTCGCACCATCCGTTGACGTTGCACAACTTACACTCCTTCATTGTAAATAAAACTATCCGTTTTTTTTGTACTCGGTTTGTACTTGGTAAATCACATAGAAAAATATCCAAATACACACATCACAGGAGATATCACAGCATAGTTCTGCACTATTCCGGTCTATACACTATAAAGGCACTAAGTATTCAGTCGATAACCTAAAAAATAAACGTCACTGAATTTTCGGCTTCAATATTTAAACTAATGAAGGAATAAGCGCTTTCGCCTATCCCTTCATGTGTGTGTATATATATACACACACACATATATTCTTCATTAGTGTCACGTCACGTCCGTCTAATACGTGTTTTTTCTAAAGTTAATAATAGCTACTTGTAAAAGTTTGTAGACAAAAAAACTGCGAAAAACGACCAAGATTCGTTTACGTTTAAGATAAGTTTACGCGCGAAACCATCTGTCAAACAGTGATAGTATTTGACAGCTTAAGACACTTGTCAATTGTAATAGATTTTCGGGTTCTTAGATCAAACGAGCCTTACGCGATTGATTACCGCATAGACTATCTCACACGCACATCGGTAACAAGTACTTAGAAGTAAATGCTTTTTGACTTATTTAAAACGGGCAACCTGCGCCCTTACTATGTAACTTCCATGTTCGATGTAGTTATCTTAATATCCGTAGCGGTGATGTCACAACCTTTGGGACGCGAGGAACAAAAATTCATTATTGAGATAGTCGGTACCGCTACTGGAAGTTACAGAGTAAGGAGTCTATTTTCTCATTGGCTAACAATTGTACCTATATTCAAATTTCATACTTCAGAAAGATCTGTTTCGTTGTATGCAATCTTTAAGTAACATATGTATTAGCAATAGAACAGCTTGGTGTAGGTGTTATGAGAAAACTCTTTGTTCCATACAAAACGCCATAAAATGAAACAGAATTCAAACTCGATTGCACAATACATATAAGCATTTCGATTTATAAATAGATCATCAACATATATGTAAAGTTAGAAATGAAATTGGAAAATCTTTATGTCAGCGAACTGCATTGCGGAGTGTTATTTGATTTTCAAACAAGCGATTCGCTATTGTTATTTATATTACGTTAATACTTATTTCATTTTATTCTTCAGTTCAGAGAAATATGGATTTTAAAGTTCTAATGCGACTATTAAAGTGTATTAAGATTTTAAATATTTCCTATTCCCTCTGAATGTACTTTGATAATACTATTTTAATTTTTGAAGTTATACTTCTTTAGGCGCGTTATGAAAAATTGAAGAGAGTGAAATTTTACGATGCGCGCGCACACAAGTAAGACACAAAATTAACAGAATGAACTGAGATGAGATGCTACGGCATTGGACTTAATTAAAAAACAACATTCAAATAATAATAGAATTTCTGTTACACTTAATGTAAGAAAATAATAATAAATATTTGTTTATTTAATTTTTCAAATGTAAACTGAACTTTATTGACTATAATGACTCCTTTTCCAGACTTTGATTATTTAATTGTAATTAATTATTTGCATGCAATAAAAAACTATTTTTAATAATGCCAAAGAAGTATAACTTCTTACGCGCGTACATAAGTAGACGCACCCTTTTTTTTAAGTTTATTACAGCACAATAAAGTGGATGTGTTAAGAATCAACAACTTTTTAAAATGTTTTTGAGCATTAATCTTATTTAATGCATAATAGAAAGTTGACTATCTCTAGCATTTGTCAAACGGATTACATATAAGTGACAAGCGACACATTTTCTACGTCTTCACTTTTTATTCATAGTGATTTATTTTCGCTTTTATGCATGTACCATTATCTGCACTTAGAAATTGATAATATTTACGAGATACGCTTAACGTGGTTCATACGCAATTCTGTACCTAAAGTAGCAATTTATTATGTTGTCTTTAAAAAAATTACCATAGAAAACAATTTTAATAAATTCTCCCGATTAATATAATTAACGGTAGTCTAGTTTTTTATAGCTTGATTGTAGGTGCCTTAACATTTTGTAAATAAAAACATTGGCGATTTAAAAGAATGACGGAGAGTTTATTGCCAGTTTTCTCGTCTGTTCTACGGCCTTGATTTAAGAACTGACAGTTTTTTACTGACATTTATAAGTGTACATTAATTTACCTTCATTAGTAAATGATATATTGATTTCTATAAAATCGATAGGTGCGTGTTAAACATTGCAAGATATCTGTCTTCTATCAACTATAGAAGTAGTGTTACATAGGAAAATAGTATAAAAATATAAAGAAAGAAGTCTCTCACAAGATGTTTGCCATAAATACGCCACAAATTTTAACAGGCATCGTTATAATTGTTAATACGCTTAGAAATTTTTCTGAGTTGCGAACTAACGTCGCAATATGCAAGCGGCCTTGAATTGGAACAAACAAACGTCATGTGCACACTTATGTCAAAACGAATCAAAAACTGTTTACATTATATAACACATTTTTAACGGGATATTTTACGTTCAGTATTAAGTTAATCAAATAAACAAAACAACCCTTTTTGAGTTCCTAAATCCAAGTACGAATATAGTTGCCAGTTGTGATAAATTTATCTCTATTTTTATATGCGTCGTATAACACCTAATACCCGAGAAATAATCTCCTATTGTATTTAAACACTCGCAGCCAAAGTTGCGTTCGAGAAATTTTGGACAATAGAAAAGATGTTTGGTTCCTTGTAACGAAGGGTTCTGTGGGTTCTTCCGTGACATAAAAAATGGCCCAAATAATAGGTATACGCACGTGCGTTGACGCAGGGTATCGACAGCTGGCACGGCAGCTGGCGGAAGATCCCCGCCCCGCGCCCCTCACCTGCTTCACTAATTCGTTATGATCAATATTCAGACAATAAATATACCTGTTATACAAATCTATATCTTTTTGAATTTTGAAATGTTCCTGATTATTTAAATTTAGAATGTATTTTTTATATATAACAGGGGGCAAACGGGCAGGAGGTTCATCTGATGTTAAGTGAATCGCCGCATGCACACTCACATTGCCAAAATATTCGCAATTGCGTTGCCGGCCTTTAAAAACAAATGTCTGACAAAAGTGCAGAAAGTATAGTCTAAATAACGATATGTACTTTAAAAGGACAAATATTCCTTTAATGAGGCCAATTTTGCTAACAAAATATTTAACCACGTTTATTGCCAAGGTTTGCCAAAACTCAGTTATCCTTTAATTTATTACTTTTCCTTTTTTCACCTACTATTATATTTTTCCGGACACGTCACGACATGATTGTTCAAGCCACAAAAGTACATCTCTCTCTATGTAAAAGAGATCTCCGTCTATGGTAAAAGATATGCGCAGGTATTTTTTAATGAAAGCAATTGTATAGAAATTTAAGCTTGTTATGTTTGTTAATTTACGTTTACTGTCATAGTTAGAACTCTTTTGGCAGTGGTACTTGGCGGGTGCCCAGAAATACACACCGATGTTCAATGCAGTATATTGTTTTATTAGTATACGTTGCATAATATAACTTATAATGTTTTTATTTTAAAATTAAGTGTTAGCCGAATAGACTAGTGGTGGGTCGGGCATTCCGACCCCGGACGAAATTTTATGTTTGATGCCACTGAAATGTTTTCATGACTAATCTATTATAAATAGACGAAGCCGCGTGAAAACTTGAAATTAAACCCGTCTGCAATCTAATTTTATATTCCCTTAAAGTACAAGTTTGGAAACATAAGTATTTTGTGAAACTGTTAAAAAAAAAATTACTAGTATTTTTATCTAATAAGTCTTCTGCTTCTTGCCTGCTGTTGTACTTTTTTAAATGTAATATACAATTAATTAATAAGCATATTATTCTATTAGTATATTTTCTCAAGTTATTGTTATAATTTTTTATGAGAAATATGTATCTTAAACCGTAATTATAATTTTATATGTTTTACTAGCTGACCGGGCAAACTTCGTTTTGCCATGTATATCATTTATAATAAAAATACGGGTTGATCGTAGAGGGGTGAAAATTAGGGGTTGTATGTATTTTTTAATGCTGTATCATAAAAAAATAAAACAAAAAAATTTCTAAAAATTAAAACAAAATAATTTAGGGGGACTACCCTTAACATTTAGGCGGATGAAAAATAGATGTCCGATTCTCAGACATACCCAATATGCACACAAAATTTCATGAGAATAGGTCAAGCCGTTTCGGAGGAGTTTAACTACAAACACCGTGACACGAGAATTTTATATGTTTTATAATCGCCAGAAATAAATAAGGTACCTACCTACGTAAACATAAAATTTGTAACTCCCATTTTTGAAGTTGGTCAAAACCTGTGTTAAAGTGAGAGTTTTATCACAGATTTCAATTATCACCACCGATTACCGTATCAAGACTGATAATGCGATAAGAAAATTTCCTTTCTATTTTAAATTGTTTATTATCATTTTCCTTCGTTTAAAGCCTGCTTTTGGGTATTGTTTTTTTAAATCTATATTTACCTCTAATTAGTTTTAAGCTTGTCAAAAATTTGCTTTTAAAAAATAATAAACGCGTAGCACTTATACACTTTCCGAAGGTATTTTTGTTCAGTTTTAACTAAGTATAAAAACTATTTTAAGTGCATATATAACTATCATTTTCAGCATGGAATACACGTTGCGCAAGAGTCGTAACATAACTTACATAAGCAAAGCTTGCACAAACCCACTTAAGAAGCTCAAGTAATTGTAACTGGAAGATAGCTTTGAATTTGTGTACTTAAATAGTTGATTTATTACACACAAAAATTTATGCAATGTTTGATTGGTAGGTCAATAACTCAGAGATTTGTTTTAAATGTTATATGTAAGACCTTAACAACTCTTTGCTTATAACTGGTAAACTCCCATATTCTTAGCAACAAAATTAAGTTTTCCCTAACAAGCGATTTCTTTCAGGAAATCTTAGACAGAAGTACAAAGGTGTAAACTGCGTTTCATTTTTTTTTACTAAACACATCTACACACGAATAGGGGTAGGCGAA